TAGTTAGTATGAGTATTATTTATGTATTTAAGTATAATAATTTGTATTTAATAGGTTTTTCTTTGTATTAAGTTATGTTTATTTATTTATTTATATAGTCAAATATATAAGTTAATAAGAGTAGTCCTTCCACATTGCTGTTCCATACTCCAGTTCAGGTAGTGCACCTAAAAGCTGGTTTGCCAACCGCCAATAAAAAAGAAGAAGAAGAAGAAGAAGAAGAAGAAGAAGTCTGCCTTGCCTTGTACAAATACCCACCCTTGCGGTCTATGCACTTGACCACTTGACAACTTCTATGACGTATTTCCTGTATTTGGCCCAAGTGTTCAAGTGAGCATGAAGACCACAAGTGTGTGTAGAACTTTTCATTACCTGATGGGACACACTTATAGTGCTGTACAAATGCAAGTGTTTACAGAGCTTTATTTTTATTTTCAATACTTTGCATTTTAAAATCAACTTGTAAATGTCCAATGTCCAATGTTCAGTAGTCCCTATAACAGATGACACAATTGAATTTAGTGGTGCTTCTAGTGATAAAAAGCAGTTGCAAATGTTGTACAAAATAATTATCACCACTACTCATTTTCACCAATAAAGCATGCAACTCTTTGTTTTACTACCAAATTATATGTAATATCTAATTATTATTAATATTTCACATACATTGGAAAGGTTTCCGTGACCTCTCACAAAACGATCTCGGCAAAAAGTCTCACGATTTATTTCCACAACATGATGGGATACACTAAGCCTCGAATACCGCTCCGGAGCAGTATTCGAGATAGTGTGGATTTAGTGTGTGTTAAGAGCACTGCGCTTTGGCATTTTGAAGACCTAGGACAGTCTTGCGCACTTACTTCCTGTTTCCTTAAACAAAGAGTAATACGAGTGAGAGTAGGAGACTCGATATCATCTCAAGGAATAATAGAAAATGTCACTCCTCAGGGAAGTATAATAAGTCCAGTGCTTTTTATAATAATGATAAATGATATGTTTAGTAAGGTGGATAGGAGTATTGGAAGATCACTGTTTGCAGATGATGGGGCTTTGTGGTTCAGAGGAAGAAACAATAAGTACAATATGGGGAAAATGCAGAAGGCTGTGGATGAGATAGTTAAATGGTCATACAAATGAGGATTTAAGTTTTCTGTGGAGAAGTCACAAACTATTATTTATTTTCTAACAAGAAAGTAGACAGTGAATGGAAGTTAAGAATATATAACAAAGACACGGCACGAGTATCAATTAGATTCCTAGGAATGTGGCTGGATACTAGACTTACATGGAAAGAACATATTGATAAGATAGTGAGTGTAAAAGAGCTTTAAATGTAATGAAATGTATGGCAGGACAGGAGTGGGGAGCAGATAGAGGGGCGCTTCAAACAGTTTATATAGCAATGATAAGATCTGTGCTAGATTATGGAAGTATACATGGGCTGGCTGCAAAATCTCAGTTAGAGAAATTGGACAGAATTCAAGCGCAAGCATTGAGAATTTGCTGTGAGGCATATCCAACAACACCTATTGCAGCAATGCAAGTAGAGATAAATGAAATGCCACTTTTTATTAGAAGGCAACAGTTAATGGCTGTATATTGGACAAATCTTAAGAGTCAGGATGAGTCAGAGTCAGGTACATCCAACAAAGAAAATACTAGGAATATGTTGGGAACAAGGAATTAATAAACATAAGAGTTTTGGATGGGTTGTAGAAGAAGATATTAAGGAGATGGGGATAAAAAATTAAAGATGTATACCAAGAGTAATGTATCCACATAACCCCTTATGGATTCTTCCTCAACCAGTAGTAGATTTAACATTACTGAAGATAAGACAGAGCAAAGGAGTATTTAGGGCTTATGTATGGAAATAATATATGGATATACTCAGATGCCTCCAAAAAAAGAGGGAGAGTAGTGGCAGTTAATGTGCCAAAGTTACTGATGAAGAAAAAAGCTAGAATAAGTGATCAACTGTCAGTATATACAGGTGAAGTGATGGCTATTCTGCTAGCAGTACAACTAATTAAGGAAAGAGAAATACAAAATGCGGTCATTTGTTCAGATTCATATTCAGCAATAGTCAGTATTGATAACCAGAAATCAGAGTCAAGGCCAGATTTAATTATGGAAATCCTTCAAAATCTCTTTGAGTTAAAACAAAGTAGAATAGAAGTACAGTTTATGTGGGTTCCAGCCCATGTGGGAATGAAAGGAAATGAAGAAGCAGATAAATTTGCTAAGCAAGCAGTAGATGATGAAATAGTAGAAACTGAGCTATCACATAGTATAAGAGAAATAAAATCAGTAACAAAGGAGAAAGTGATTAAAAAGTGGCAACAGTATTGGGATAGTGAGAATAAAGGGAGACATTTATATGCAATACAAAAGAAAGTGGGAAAAGGTAGAAAAAGTGGGAGAAATAGGAGGGAGGAATTATCTATGCACAATCAGCTTGTAACACTCCCAAGAGAAAGGAAAACTTGAAATCGCATCATATGACCCCTTTAAGAGATAGAGGAAATGTTTCTGATCCAAGCTACCTGATGAAGGCAGTAATGCACTGTTAAGTGTGGTTGCCAGTAGAAGAAGAAGAAGAAGAAGATCTGCCGTTGATCCCGCCTCGCGGCAATGACCCCATCACCAGCGCGCGTCCTCCGCGTCGAGTCTCCTGAGGAGAGGTGAGCAGATCCCGGGCTTCTGCCTTGTTATCCTCGAGTACGCTGTTTGTCGGCTTGAACACTGATGCTCTAATGCTGCGAGGAAAACATGTCACATTCACCGGAGTGGGTTTGTGTTCGCGTGGAGGGTTGTTTCGATGTTTGGAGTGATGCTGTTGATGAATCTGTCCTGCTCTGTGAGAGGAATGGATAAGGACCTATATCAGTTTTGCTGCTGCTATTATTTATAACGTCGATCCTCTTTTAAGATATATCTTTCGCAGATTAAATTTGTTATAGTTATTTTACATGGTTAAAATTAAGAACAGATACTGCTAAATACTTCATATAATTAGTCTGTATTATGTGTGCTATTTTAAATCTACAGAGACATGAAGAGATAATACATTGGAAGCATTACATTTGTGCTTTGATGTACTCTTTTGTATTTAAAGAAGATTTTATGATCACTGTCAATTACTGCACATCAAACTAAAGCATGTTAATTTAATTACTTTATTTGCTCTGAACTATATTTAGATGTGCTTTAGTGTAGTTATTTGACTATAATTGTTAACGAAGATGGGTCTCATCAAATGTCTGTGGTTTTAATTTTTATTCTTACTGTTATTTATATTTGTATGAATTTACATTGTATTCTGTTCTATATTTCTAGATGGATATCTTCTTATATGTTAATACTGGGGCAGAATGAAAAATAAAATATGGATAGAAATTTTAACTATAGAAAGACAGACAAAACAGAAATGCACAGATTGTGTGAATTAGCACATATTGCATTTTAAATTCATGTGCTCTTTGTGTTGATGCTGTTACTTTTAATATAGTAATATAATGATCTACAAAGACACAACACTTTGTATTTGTAAGGCTCTGGTCTCTTCAAATATAAAATTTGGAGGACATCTGCTTCACTTACATAAATGTTTAAATCTGTAAATTGAGCGATTCTGCTTCTTCCACACAGAAATGCATGCCCAGTGAAGCTCCTCCCACAACAATCACGCCTTCAACAGTTCAACAATAAATGCTGGAACATTCCCATCAGTTTACAAGTGAAGACCAGTGTTGGGGAAAGTTACTTTTAAAAGTAATGCATTACAATATTGCATTACTCCATAAAAAAAGTAACTAATTACGTTACTTAGCTACTTTTTATGGAAAGTAATGCGTTACGTTACTTTGGCGTTACTTTTTAAATCTGGACAGGGCTTGCTTGTTTGTTTTTAAAATAAAAAAGTTATATTTTTGGCAAATATAAAAACCTTTTCACACCAGAAGTGAAATGAATAAGCCTCAGGCTGAAGGAAATGTAAATGTACGTCCGTACAGTAGAATGCAGAAGAATGCAGAAGAAGAAATTTCAACACAGGTCAGAAGTAAAGACATTGGTTAATAGAATAGGATTAAATACAAAAAGGATATTTGTGTTGTTTAACATTTATTGCTGGTTTGCGTCATATTCTGAGTGGCATTATTTTTATTCATTTTGAGGAATACTGAATCTTTTTTTTTTTTGTGAGTGAGATGAATGAATGCATATTCATATTTATTTTAGAACTACAGTAACATCTTCTGATTTCTCTCAACATGGGGACTGGAGAGCTGTCAGTCAATACATTGGAAAAACAAGTAACTTGCATTACTTCTTTGAAAAAGTAACTCAGATATTCTCTTGTAAATTAAAAAGTAATGCGTTACTTTACTAGTTACTTAAAAAAAGTAATCTGATTACGTAACTCGCGTTACTTGTAATGCGTTACCCCAACACTGCTGAAGACGAGCATCAAAGCATCAGGAAGAGCTGAAATCTACGGAAGTTCTAAGCGGCCATGAATTATTTTTTAAGACTGAGTTTATTAAAGAGGACAGAGAGAAGATGAGAGACCCAGAACCCTGCAGAATCAAACACACTGAAGATACTGAACAACAAACAGGTTAGTGGCAATAATGTTACATCAGGGTTAATTAAGGTTTATGTCCACATGTCTCTGCTTTTTACGAGTTACTGAAAATTAACCATTTTTATTTTTATTTCAGAGTTGATTGAAGAAAACGAGGAGAGTGAAGAACTGAGTGAAGTGGAGGAGAAAAATCATGTTAAAACTGGAGGAAAAACCTTTGAGTTGCTCTCAAAGCAAACAGAAAGATTTAAAGAAAAGAACCAAGAAATCTTTCACCTGCACTCAGTGTGGAAAGAGTTTCTCACGCAAAACAAGGCTTGATGTTCACATGAGAATTCACACTGGAGAGAAACCGTTCACTTGTGTTCAGTGCGGGAAGAGTTTTGCACAATTAGCCCACCTCAAAGATCACATGAACATCCACACTAGAGAGAAACTGTACACATGTGGTCAATGTGGCAAAACATTTTTGTGGGCTTCAGACCTGAAGAAACACATGAATATTCATACAGAGGAGAAGCCACATTCATGTTATTTGTGTGGAAAGAGTTTCTCACGCAAAACAAGGCTTGATGTTCACAGGAGAATTCACACTGGAGAGAAACCGTTCACTTGCGTTCAGTGCGGGAAGAGTTTTGCACAATTAGCCCACCTCAAAGATCACATGAACATCCACACTAGAGAGAAACTGTACACATGTGGTCAATGTGGCAAAACATTTTTGTGGGCTTCAGACCTGAAGAAACACATGAATATTCATACAGAGGAGAAGCCACATTCATGTTATTTGTGTGGAAAGAGTTTTTCACGTTTACAAAGTTTAAAAGAACATCAGAAAATACATGCTGCTGTGAGAGAGTACATGTGCTTTGAGTGTGAAAAGACTTTTATTTCAGCTGCACATTTGAAACGGCACGAGAGGATTCACACTGGAGAGAAACCTTATAAGTGTTCACACTGTGACAAGATATTCACTCAGTCAGGAATCCTGAAAAGACATGAGAGGATCCACACTGGAGAGAAACCGTATCACTGCACTGCATGTGGGAAGTGTTTCTATCAATCTTCTTCTCTACACAGACATACAAAAAACAATCACAGTCTGATGCCGCGTCCTCACCAAATGTGACACAATAATGCGTCAAGCAGTAAAATATCATCTGGATAAATCTGTCCTAACCAGACATTACAAGCGACATGACAAAGAAACATTATCTAAAGTTTTCACAGTGAATAAAGTTAATCTTCAAAACCAGCAGATTCAACTGAGAGATTCAGATTAGAGACGCTCTGATCCGCCTTTTTCGCTTCCGATACCTAGGGTTCGGTATTGGCCGATACCGATCCGATACCAGTGAAGGTTTTTCACACTAGAAACACATTCCGCCAAATACACAAACACAGGTGTGCTGCGCATCCATTCAGATGAACTGAAAAATATCAGATCGCTTGACGGAGAGTGAAACTCAGTCAGAGTGTTCTGTGAGTGAAAATATATCTGTGCTAATCATATACTCAGCCTCCAACTCACACACTGACGAGTAAAATCTGAGAATTCATTAGCCAATGGCTAATATTAGACATCATTAAGTCGCCCAGAGTGAAGATTTTGTCGCATATGCGAGTGATTTACTCACAATGTAGAGGGTTGACAGTCTATGAGCATGAAGCGCTTACAAGGTATGGAAGCATATGTGTAGCAAAATTCAATTTGCAATGTAATATGCAAAATGGCAATGCAATATTCAAAATGGCAATGTATTTCTGTATTTAAATTTACATTTTCCATTACCCACATGTGCAAAGTTTGGTGCAGAAGGAAAATTTAAATGAAATTATATTATTTACATTTGCCATTTCCAACAATAGTCTTAATATTTAAAGTGCATACTGTTTTAACGCTTTATATGTTGAGAAATTAAAATGAAAATGTATAACCCAAATTGATTTGATATGTGTAACATGTCCAAGCAGAAATAGTAGCAAAATGATCATTTAAATGTTATTTGTCCTAAATGCATTTAGACTAACAGTTAGGACACTTACGATTGCATTTTCATCATGACGCGGAGGGATACTTGTAGCAAAATTCAATTTGAAAATACATTCCGAGCTGACCACGCCCACCCTCCATCAATCATTGCTTCAAGGCAGGGATTGGCGGAAACGTGGTA